CATATTTCAATTGTAAATGGCTACAAAATTTAGAGAGTTAAAGTCTTGAATACGTACGTCAGAGGTGTATAGAATCTGTTATATTTTGAGTGAATGACTGAAGACAAGTAGTTCTAAGGCTGTGCATGTTACCCAGTTTGACTCATCTATCCGTACAACATTTAATATATAAATATCAATGAGTCTAGAGAGAGAATCGACTTTTTTATACAGAAAATAATTGTGTTCTTTTTTTAGATTCAATGACTAATGAAATAATACTTAAAAATGTTAGAGAAATATGCTTAAAATATTAAAAAAGCTGTTTTGAAGTGGTTCATTCCTCTGATAAGAACGGTCTTTTATTTTGGCACAGTAATTTGCTTCTTCTTACTGTTCTGTTACTATGCCTTTTCTTTATTCAGTATCGCAACCTTATTTTCGTGCAAATTGGTATGGGAAAAAAAGAAAATATGAAACCGATAGAAATGCAAGAATATTATATAATAAAATGTCTTACTCATATACCTGATAAAATATAAGATATTAATCGATAGAAAAAAATGCTATAAGTTGTTTGTTCAGCTGCATCGAGTTACTCAGCATCGATAAGTGCTGTCTTCAAGGGGGGAAAAGTACTTTTTTTTAATATAGCACCCTAATCGGCACTAGGTGCTGCTTTTCCCCCCTTGACTGTCTTTTTACAGTTCTACAAAAAAATCCCGTTGACATACTAATTAGATATCAGTACATTAGCGTCATGTGAACATCAAGTAAAACTTAGAATAAGTCATCTTATTTTCAAAATACAACAGAAGTGTAGAGATTAGTTTTTTTCTATTAAAGTATCAAACGATCTTTAACGTAGATGTTCCTCCTTAAGAATAGCGAGTTATATAAAGCTAACGACTAGAACCAATTATATTGCCTTACTTCTGTCTGTGTGACTAGAGGAAGTATGGTATGTTTATCTAGTATTGATCTTGGCCATTGTCGACTTGGTACTGCAGTCGTTGAAGTCGTTTCATCACTATTATCAATAACAATACTATCGTTTTCCTCAACTGAATGATTAGAGTTTGAACGACGTTCAGTCGATTGTTTACGTTCTCGATATGGAACCTGTAAAGAAAAAATTGAAAAGTACTATTTAAAGAAATGAAAAATAAAACATTCTCATGTTTATCGTACATAGGTTTTATCCGAAATCAAATTATGTTGCATAATAAAAGTTCCTAAAATATTTGGTAATTCAAAAAATGTTTCAGATGGTGCCGCAGGAAATAAATTGGGCGAGTTTGAATAATGTTGTTTGCTCATTAATACATAAAAACAAATAATAAAACTAAGCAATGACTTATTCTCTAAAAGAAGAAAGGAAAACGTCGGAAAGTGATTCCATGTTACGAAGAAAATCTAATTTTCATAATAAAAATGGTGAACAAGTATATATTTTGCCTAATCTCAATTAATTTTTTAGTTATGATTAATTTAATAATAATAATAGTAGAGTTCTGATATTTACTCTTCTGATTGATAACAAATGAAAACCTCGTTGAATGAAAACGAATGAAACACCTGAAACTTTATTCGATGGAGAAGAACTGGTTTCATATTCTGCTAATACATCATCTATTAGACTCCTATTAACAACAAAAATCATATGATGACATAAACAAATTTGCGAGAATAAACTGTTGAAAAAAAAGTCATTATCGAGAGAATATAGACTAACATCAACTCGATAGATTATCGAACAATTAGTTATACATAGAAGTTTGATACGCATAATTTTTTTATTTCTATTCGTAGACAAAAAAAAACATTCCATATCCATGAGTTGTTTAACCGGCAAAAAAAAGTGTAAACTTTAATGAAATGACTTTTCGAGAACGAAACAGTGCTTTTTATTTCAACTGTAACACAAATCCACTGTAAAAATACAAAAAAATAGATTTCATTTAGATGCTTTAATTAGTTATAGACAAAATTCAAGTTTCATTCGGGAAAAAAGTCGTATTTTATATTATTTACATGCACATGAATCAGATCAAAACAAAAGATTAGTCACAACGCGTTTGCTATCTCTTCTTTTCATTATTATACACATAACTCATTTTCGCGTCACAACGATTGCCGTGTTTCGTAAAATGTCTGTAAAAAAAATAAAATTTCTTTTTTTTTTATTTGTCTGGTGTCCACAGACAAACTTTAAAAATTCTGTCGATGGACGAATTGAACAGTTGCAGATCTTTAGCTACAAACTATCTCGAAAGAAAAAGAAGGAAAATCTGATTAAAATAATCTGTGAATCATAAAATCTGATGCAAAACAGATTTGACTATTTTTCACTTATATTGTTTTGTGCACAACATGAACATAGACAATAACCGTGTAAAGGACATTTTTTTATGAGCCTATTCAAATTTAATTAATTTTGTACTCATGTCAAGAACACACAGTTCCATTCGAAAATAAGCAAAAAAAATTTTTTTGTTCTAATTTTGTTAACAATTCAAAAAACAACAACACGTTCTTCATCATTCTTTGTTTGTATAGATAAGTAAGAAATAAAACTGAAAAAATGAACTAAACAAATACTGACCTTTCGTTTGAGAAAAAGTTCGCAGATGAAAATATCAACAATAAATAAAAGCGTTTGTAATTTGAAAGTAGAAAATACGCGTACAAAAAAAGAAACATCATTAATAGAATAACAATAACAAATATGTATTCTGCTCAGATTCGAGATAATTAAATATAGAAGATATGAGATCTGTACTGCTTAATGAATAACAACGTGTTTTATCATAATAACATTTTGCTTCTATCATGTGTCATTGATAATACACGTTGAATGTATGTTTTACTTAATGCTAAATTTTTTTCTAATTCACGTAATTGTTTTTCAGCAATCATACATTTTTCTGTTTCTTCTTGTAATTTTAATATCATGGCATTAGAATCAAAATTTTCTGGACAACCATGAAATATAACCATACCTAAAACAAAATGAGAGAAATCGATTATTTAGTTGAATATTGTGTATAATTCCATTTCCATGTATGTTTTCTTACCATCTTTTTTATTTAATGATGCAAATATTTGTCCATTTTCAATCATATCTAATAGATATTTTTCCGCTTCTTGTGATGATTTTAATTTGACACGTTGTGCCAAATCATTTAGAGATACAGTTAAAAATGTTTTTGTTAACTGTTGAATACTATGACATATAAATGAATTGAGTGTTTGTTTAACTAGACCCAAATTTTTATCTTTTTGAAACTGTTCTTGATGACGATGAATAAATTCTTGATAGTGTTGTAAATCATTATTACTAAATAGATTAGCTAATTCTGTATATGTTGTACATAAACTTTTCATCGCTTGTACGGATGAACGACTGATATATGAAGGTAAACCACTTAACGAACTACTACTCGTAGTATTTGTAGTTGTTGTTGACAAAGATGTGGCTACAATCAATTTAACAAGAGTATATTTTTTATAAGCTTCAATCATAATTAAACTTGTGACATTCGCTGGTACTGTGAGTACATTTTCAAAAAAATTTAATGCACGATCATATTGTTTAACACAAGTATAGATCATACCACCATAATAATAATATAATAAAAGGTATTTAACATCAAATCGACCATTCTCACGATTTATTTCAATTATATCGGTATCCAAATAATGTAATGCTGGTTCAAACCATTGTGCTAATAAACATAATTGATATAAATCGCTGTGAATTGATAATAATTGACCGGGTTCATGACGAACCAACTCAATTGTACGAAAAAGAAATGCAATTCCTAAAAATAACCGAATAATTTATCTCTTTAATTATAATAAGGATCGAGTTAGATATTGACAAGAACAAAACAGTTTTAATACTGAATCAAGAACAACATTTTCTATCTTATTTATAATAATATCGTTTAAATAAATTATAAAGGATAGAATCTACTTTCTTTTAATATGCTCTATTAACAGTGAATTGATTATGCTTATTAAAACATAGCACTACTACATAATTATATAAACAATAAGTAGATACCTGATCTTGTCCTATTTTGACGTAAACGTTCAGTGATAACATGACATATATCACATATAAAATGTGGAAGATATTGAATCTATGAAAAGATTAAAAAAACTAATGTTTTCATAAACTCTTATTCTTTATTTCTTGATTTTTTACCTGTTCTGCTGAACACGTTTGTGTAAAAATTTCCATTTGTGTTAAGTATCGATCAAAATCTGGTATGTTTGGTCCACGAGCAATTGTATGTAATGCACCCAAAGCACATAGTGTATGTTCGGGTAATGCGAATGTTGTTAATATATTTTCAATATGTTGAATATTTTTATGGAAAATATTTGATATTAATAGTGATTGTGCTAATTCCGAATATTTTTTGTCACCTGATAAACGTCGAATATGATCAACATATTGATCTAATGCACTCATGATCAATTATTTATTTTTTAAAACTTCAAAAGAAAAACAAACCTTAGCATTGTCAGTTTAACTATATACCTATTTAACAACAATAAATAAACTATGGTCCAAGTTGATATTTTTTATCTGTTCGTAAAACTTCTACACCAGCGGTAAACTTCCACAAAATTTTATCTGTCACTACTTAAAACTAGTAGGCATGTAGTTTAACAGAATTTTTCTTTTAATAACAGTATACTTTAGTAATTTCAATCGTTCTAGAAAGTCATTGTAAGTCATTGTTTCTCTGTATCAGAGTAAAAGGTAGAGCAAATATTTTTAATGGAAGCAAATTACATCAAAAATTGGTCAAAAGATCGTTTGAACAGATGGATGTGAATATATTTGTTTTCATGTTCATGTAACTGTAAACTCAAACTGATCGCTGGTAATATAAGTGACATGAAGATGATTAATTTTTTTTTCTTTAATTATCGTTGTACTAGAAGTGTAGGGAACTGGTTGGAGATTGTTTTAGCTTACGAGAAAACCTTCCCAAGTATCCAATTGCTTTTTTCTTAAAACATACACGATTGTGCTCATCATGAATCTGATATCCATTTCGGCTACTAGGCCTTTCTGGGATGAGTCTCTGAAATCCGTCCGTCCGAAGACCCGCTATTAACTTCCAGTTGAACATATTTTGGCACTGCCAGATTGTAGAGCACGTTGAATACCTATGTGGGAAAATGTTCAGAACCAACGAACAAGTTTTCACAGAGATAGAAAAAGTTTACTTTATAATCCAGTACGGTAGGGAACCAAAATATTTCAGATTTTTGAAGCCTAACATTTTTCTATCTCTGCGAAAACTTGTTCGTTCGTTCTGAACATTTTCCCACATAGGTAATTCAACGTACTCTACAATCTGGCAGTGCTAAAATATGTTCAGCTGAAAGTTCATAACAGGTTTTTGGACACCCGGATTTCAGAGACTCATCCCAGAAATGCCTAGCAGCAGATACGAATTGATATTCGTGATCAGCACAATCGTGTATGTTTTAAGGAAAAAGCGATTGGACACTTGGGAAGGTTCCCTCGTAAAACCGTGTCGACAGCAGAGAAGTTAAGCATGGCTTAATGTCATAAGTATAAACTTGAGAAAGAAGTAAAACGCAGATGTTGAAATATTTCTTCTGTACACTCTTTTCTTTCAGGTCAGTATGAAATCGTAAGTAATGATAAAAAAAGATTACCAACAGAAACAAAACTATCGGAGAACGAAAATACAAAAAGACTTGAAAAAAGGAAGGAAGAAAAGGAAACGGAGTAGTCGCATATGTAAACCGTTAGAAATCTAGCCAATTAAAAGTTCTTTAAACATTACCTTTGATTTTTTGAAAATAAGACGGAAATCCTAAAGAAGAATCTGATTTCCTTGACTCAACCATTTCTCTACGGCTTAAAAGAACTCAACGCTTTTATTTTAATAAGAACACAGATGTCGTATGCATTCAAAGATTTAAAAGACTTTTTCAGACTGTAGAAGCAAACAAAATCTACAGGAAGAATTTATACATGTGACAGTTGGAGAATTTCTATCAAATCACTATTTTTACAATTAAACTTTTGTTAACAAGCGGTCGAAGAATTTTTTTTTTCTTCCGATAAGTACCCAACAAAAAAATATTTTATCGGCACTGGTTGTGCACGGATGCGCACCGATGCAGACGAGTTTTTTTTCTGAGTACTGATGTGCACCAGTGCCAGAAAGAATGTAAAAATCTCGCAGCGGTGCGCACCAGTGCCGAAGTTTTGTTTTCAATTATCATTTGGTTTTATCAATTTCTGTCTATATTAACACCACGGTATACTTTTAATATTTCGAATGTCTTTCTGACCTCAGCTTTTCCTTCTCATAAGAGAAGTGACGAGGCAATGCTGCATGGTTTTGGCATGTTAATGTGGTACTGATCAGTACCGTGCTCTAATACAAAATTCAATATAAAACACCATAATAAAAACCTAATTAAATTGATTAAGTAAATTTCAGTGCGGCACTTTTTGGGCAGAAATATTTCGGCACTTGCTGCGCACGGATGCACACCGGTGCCAGTGAGTGTCATGACCAGCGACCGATGGCATGTCATGCGCATCGGTGCGCACAGCACCGAAGGCAGTGCCGCACTAGAATTTTTTTTATAGGGACGCATATATCATCGACAGAAAAATAAACTTCATTTAGTGTTGCGGAAAAGTGCCTTTTCATGTTCAGCACACTCAATATCCTAGAAGATTTTCTATTTTTGGGGAGATGTACTGCCAAAAGTTTAACAAAACATTTTCGAACAAAATGGCGAAAAAATATTTCCATGGAAAAATAATATTAGTTTCAACATTTTTCTTAAACTTTTGACAATACATCTCGTCAAAAACAGAGGGTTATCTAGTGTGCTGAATATGAAAAGGCACTTTTCTGCGACTCTAAGTGAACTTTATTTTTTTCTTATCGCTGACATGAGGACATCCTTTTAAAACTGAAGAAAACAACTGTCTTAAAATAGAAAAGTTTACTCCATTTGTGAAACAGCGATTAACCCCTTTTAAACATTCAATTTCACATCAACGTTCTCGATCATATAAACAAATCAACATATCTCGGTTACACGCCCACGCCAAGAATGTCAGTCGGATCAACGATATAACATCTCAATTAAAAACTCAACTCAACTTAATAAAATCTGTCATGGATGATAAACAAAAAACTCATACCAATTAATCTCTCAAGAACGATGAAGACTGCCTTTTTTTATGCTAACATCAACTGGTTTATTCCTGTATATATTCTTTTTCCTAAAACACAACAATTACGTATGGGCAGGATGTATTAACATGTTACAGCGATGACATACGGTATTTTTTGGGTACCTGGTGATATTCTTCATTACATTATTGAAGAAAAAACGCAAGAATAAAAAAAAAAGACTAAGTCCCTGATACAGGAGAAAAGTTTGGAAAGAAGAATTATTTTTTGGTGCATAGCAATAAGTATCTTTTCGCTTCATTCAATCATTCTAAAAATTACATTAAAAAATATTCAAAAAAGTGTCAATAAACATTCAGTTACGCTAGATAAACACCATCACACTCGAAATTGATAATAAAGCGTACAATTGTTTGGAAAAGAGACAGAAATAAGACTAGAAAATTATAGTAAACAAAAAGTATCACTGTTAGTTTTAGCGAGTTTCCTAGCAGTAAAAACTTTTTCTAAAATGTCAAAAAAAAAATAACCTTTGAGCGATATTACGTAATCATGCTTATAGAAATTGTTGCATTCTCGTGCTTATTTTCTCAAAAACCAATAGCCGTAATAAATTCAACAATATTTAAATAGACTACAGGCATTAAATCAAAACGGAGATAACCATCAAATTGTAAAATGCCACGAAAACCCAAATTATAATTTAAATGATGAATAGAACAATGTAATAGATATAATCGTCGACTTAAAATCCATCCATCATCTCGAAATGGATCATGATCCATCGTAAGAATAAATGTTGGTGGCATTGTTTTCAGCATATCATCTATAAAAGAAAGAAAGAATAAGCTACTAATGAGTCTAAATTTGAATATAGTCCAATTCTACCTGTGGATAAACCAGGTGATAAATCACTCAATAATAATAATGCATATTCATTAACTAATTGTTCGTTGTAAGAACTCGGACTGATTATTGTAGTCCTGTCAACATTATCATTTTTACTATCGTTTTGTGATTGTTGACGATAATCTTCTGGTAAATAATCTTCATTCACGTAATTATTCATATAAGAATATTCTTTCATTAGACGAGATAAACGTGAATGATGTTCATTCATAAAGAGTGATGATGTTACATTTAAGTTTGTGTAGGCATGCAGCATTAACTGTAAAAAATATTGATCATATAGACCTAAAATATTTTCTGAAAAATATCGATTATGTGATGGTAATTTCATGTTATAATATTGCAAAATAGGATAAATTAATATTTGACCAGCAATTCGTAAATCTTCTGCTTGTAAACGTTGTACAATAGACAATACCATTGTAGCTCCAACTTCATCACCAATTAACAAAATTTTACTTCGATCAACAGGATTAAAATATGAGCCAAGTAAAAGTTGTTTAATAAAATCATAACAATAATTGATTTGTGTTGGATACGCTTGTTCTGGTGCCAAATTATAATCAAGTGCAAGAACAGCGATACGTGTTGTTTTTGCCAGGTTATATGCTATACTATCATGAGTATCTAAATTTCCTAATATAAAACTTCCACCACGTAAATAAATAATCAGTGGAAAACCAATCGTACGATTTTCTTGTTTACCATGCATGAAACCTAGAAAAGGAAAGAAAAGAAGAAAATAAAGCAGCTGCCAAGTTGAGACTATGCAATAGAAGACACATCATAAAACAACTTCATGTGGATGGTATGGAAACTTCTTGCAATAAGAAAAAATAATTTTTAACATATTTTTATTTTCTCCTTTTCCATAACACATGAAAGTTAACATAAGATATCAACTTACGTGGAAAATCATATAACCTTAGCCGGTAATTGTTAATTGTATGATCTTTTATACTCAATCCGTCTAATTGATCACGATGTTTTAAACCATTACATGAAAACAAAAAATTATAGAATAAACGTAAAAAATAGTATTCACCTAATTCATAATCTTTGTCCATTAAAAACGATGATAAATAAGATAAGTAATAAGCAAATGTTCGAGATAATAAAAAATAAGTGGATATTAAACGGTATTTATATGGATTAGGAAATTTTGATGGTAACGGATAGCAGTAGATAGAATTAAAACATATCAGTCCAGATAGTAATGGTAAAATAATAAAAACGATAAACGATCGTTTTGACATTGATTGTACATGATCGTATGTTAGATCAATATAATTATTAATATAAAATGTTTTCATTGCTCGATATTCATCCGGTTTCGTAATTGTATAGTCTTCTTTCGAAAAACATATTCGAAATATGGCAAATGCTGATTTGATTTTGATTACGTTTTTATTGTCATTTGAACCTTTATACGTATACTTTACTAATCATTTATGTTGTGCTGTCTTCTGTTCTTTTTTTTTTCTCACAATTCTTTAGTCTCTCTATATATCCAATTCCACTTACACTTTTCTATTTTTTTCATTTTATTTTTTACCTCCATATTCAGACAAAGTAGTGCCTTACGTTCTTTCACATGTTTTTATATTCATATACCTAGCGTGTTAACGATGTTGTTTGTTATACGGTACAATAAAGAAACAGAAACGAGATCAAATTAGAAGAAAAGAACAAAAACAGAACAGAACAAAAATAACTTTGCCTTTAGAGTTTTGAATAAGTTTTTAAGTGCACAAATGCGTTCAAGTAATCGTTAAATACATACAAATATAAAATGAGTAAGGTATATTTTAAATAAATTAGAAAATCTTATACAATACTAGTTTATTTTGTTGATATAAGATTGAAATAAGGCAAAATAATTTACACGAGAACAATAAATAAACATTTATTTAAAATGTAGAAGTTTTCGATCGAAAACGTTAATCATTTGTAGACCGTCGGCATTTGTCACGTTACGTAGATAATTTAAATAAATTGCACAAAAACAAACTATAAAATAAATGTAAAGATTAGTATATTTTCATCATTAGTTGATGATAATTAAACTACTTTTTAATCAAACTTTCCTATTTTTTCTAATAAATATTTGTTGATGATCGCGTTTTTGTAAGTTATTAGAGCACTAGTAAATAAGAGGATATCTCTTTTCACATAAGATATCCCGTGTGCGGACATTTTTTCATCTCAGCGCGTCGATTGAAACGAAAGAGAACAGAAAAATAGGCATGTGCGAAAAGAGATATCTCCTTATTTGCTAGTGCTCTATTCCTCATGTATATGGTTGAAAATTGTTGAACTTTTTTCAACTGATGTCTTGTGAACAAAGACATAGTCAACTCTGCGTTTTAGTATCTTGTTTGATAAGCACAGAGCTCAGGGATGGCTTGTGCTACAGACAGACACTCTATCAGAAGAAAGAATAATAAATTAATCATTTTCATTCAAAACTTTTTTGTTTTATCATCTAAATCAACAGCTAATTTGTTCATATAATTGTGAATTTGTAAGTTATCTAATAGAATTTTATTAAGTTTTCTTTACATTTACAATCGAGCTTTTTGTCGACATGTTCAAAACGGATAAAATGTGAAAAGAGAACGAAATTTTCATAGAATGGAGAACGAAAAATTAATTTTATAATTTTTGTATTTTTTGGAGAACGGAACTGAAAAGAGAACGATTTTTAATTTAGTTAAAAAACCATTTAAAAAAGAAAGATTAACTATTTATTTTTAAAGCAGCTGAAGAGAACGGATGATTTTTCGAACATAAAAATCGTTTCGACATATTTCAAAATTTTCAAAAATGGTATCAGTCGGCTCATACAGTATCACACAGCAATCAGATTGTGCATGCAAACACTTTTGTAAAGAATATATTTACAAACATATTCTTGAGCTTAAGATATTGTACGGCATACACACAATTGCCAGGGATCGTATGTCTATCAGTAAAAAACCAAGAGGAAGACCAAAGAAGACAAGTCTGGCTTTGTTGTTTTAATATATCCTTTAGATCAATATTGTTTTTGTTAGAGAAATAAGACAGTGAAGACGCTTTCATGTTCATCTCTACTACACTGTAATTTGAAATTATTTTCTACTTTATAGAAAATCGATCTGGAAAATCGTCAAAGATTTTCCAACTTTTATAAAATCCTCAGCGATTTTCTAACTGTTTAGAAAATGTTGATTCGCTCTGAGAAAATTGAGAAATTCGCTCGATTTTCTATGAATTGACTTTTCTTACTTGCCATAAAATCGATAAGAAATTTCTAAAAAGTTGAAAAATCGCCAGCGATTTTCTATAAATAAATCCCAACATTCTTAAAATTCGACATCGGTTTTCTAAATATTCTTTCTAAAAATCGAAGTTGATTTTCTAAGACGAATCGGTGATTTTTTTTCTTGCTTCTTTCACATCTATTAAAGCCCACATTGTAACAAGTTGCCCTGTAACAGATCTCTGGTCGTTTTAGTATTTAACATCGGAAATGTTAATAGATTCGGAAAGTTCTCTTAGTTTTTGCAAATCAGCATATTCTTCGAGAAGTATTATTGTTATATGACACTTAGAGATCACAAACAGATACTGTAAAGGTTCTTGGGTTAGGCCTGATTAAGAAAAAATCAAGTTCCACCGCAACTTTCTGAAGATCGCAAAGCGATTCGCTTTTGCTAATATTCCTCATTTTTATGTCTGAATCTTCCAAAAATGTACTTGATTCTATTAACTCAATGACATGATTCTAACAATTCACATTTATTTTATTATTTTTTAAACAAAATAACAGTCGTTCAACACATGATCGATGTCGAATTTGGTTTTCATCAGTGAAAGATCCATATTGTCATCCAATAAGCTAAAATAATACATCCCACTCAACTCTGAAGTTCAATAGCTTTTAATAACGGTGAAAAAGTTTATCTTCAGCCATATTCACTTTGCAGGTCTCTGATTATCAGCATTCTCACTCAGATTGTTCTTTATCTAGAAAATCCGCATCAATTTTCTAGAAAGTAGAAAATAATTCGACTTTTTGATTTTCGAGAAGTCCATATATAAAATTCCTGAGAATTTTCTAAAAATAATTCCCAACAATGTAGAAAATCGATGTCGATTTTCCACATTACTGGAAATTCGATTTTCTATAATCTGAAAAATCCGCGAGGATTTTATATATGGACTTTTTGAAAATCGCCGAGCATTTTCTATAAATAATTCCCGATTTTACAGTGTAGAAATCAATAAAGTAAATTCGTACTTTGCATAAAGTAGAAGTCCGTCCTTCAACAATACAAAAAACCAATAGATTTACCTTCCGTTCTCTTTTTTTGAATTAAATGATCATTCTCTTTTCAGTCATTTTTTGCCAAAATTAAAAAATGTTCTCGTTTCTTATTTTTTAATTTCGTTCTCTTTTAATTTCAAACTTTAGTTTAGATATCGAATCATTCTCCATTATATACACTTTCTGTTCTCTTCTAAATACCTGTCCATTCAAAATAGTTGCAAGAATTTTTAATTCTATTTTGTTCTATAGATAACAAAAGTCGATTATCAGAAAACTATAGAAGAAGTCAAAATTTTAGTAAATATCTACTTATTGCCAAGAATTCTCATAACAACTGGCTGATAAATAAAGTGCTGCTATCATTAAAGGCATAAGCATCCTGAAATGGTGTACTAGTGAAAATTAATCGTTGCTTATCGGAGGGTTTCTTCTGTGTTCAAATTCAAACTGTTTATTTGGATGTTTACCCATGAATTTTTGCTTAACATTTTCGAACGTATTGGATGATTTGCATTCAGGTATAATTGTTTACTTAAAAGAAGAACTGAATAGTTTAAAAATACAAAGCACGAAGAATACTGTATTACTTCAAACAGAAGTATTTACGAATAGATTTAAGTTTTAACAAAGATTTGCAATTAATGACTTGAATATAGAATCATAGCAAATTATATGCTAGATTAAAATTAATACTTGTGTCCGTTTACTGCAACTGAAGCCAAAAAGTGTTATTGCACAAGAAACTTACAAATGTTTGTTTCTTCTTTAGGACCAAGAATTCATCACTAATCCTGAAAAAATTTTTTTTACTGGCATTTATTCAGCACAAGTGCACCAGTGCCAGAAAGATTTTCAAGTTTCGTATCCGCGCGGATTAATACTTTTTCATTGACACAGGCGTGCATCGGTGCCGAAAGAGTGCCGATATATCATAAGAAATTTTCTTACTTTATCGGCACCCCAGTGCCAAATTTTTTTCACTCACCGTTTTTTTTGTCGACGTCCGTCTATATAAATACCGCAGTATACTTGTAACGTTTCGATTGTCGTTTTGACTTCATTTCTTGCTTCTCATAAAAGAAGTACTGAAGCAGTACCATACGGTTACGGCATGCTAGTGTAATAGTGGTACAGATCAGTGCTGTATTTTAATGAGCCATACTCACATCCTGATGAGGACGTCACATCGCAGTACTGTTTTCTTGCCTTCTATACAATACACGCATTCGTACGGCCAGCTTTCAAACCATTTGACGGCTACAGTGTCCTCACCAGGATGTGAATATGGCTCATTAAGAAAATGCAACTATAATAAAAAACTGACTAAATAATTTTCAATGCGGCACAGATTTTTACCGGTGCGGCACGTTTTTGACATAAATATATCGGCATTACCTGGCACGGGTGCCAATCGGCATTGGTTTGGCATTTGCTGAACACAGATGCACATCGGTGTCAGACAGTGCGAGTGAGCGATGGCATGTCGTACGCACTGATTTTTACTAGAATCGCACTGGAATTTTTTTTGTAGGAAAAAAATTGTGATTATCTGAGTAAAAACTTCATTCTGCTTTTTAGTGTTTTTTCTTGAGATCACATACTTTTATCATTATCGCAAAATCGACTTTTTATACGCTGAACAGAATCGGTCCAAATTTTTTTTCTGAATAGCTTATTGAATGAATGTATGGGCAGCAAAGTATCTCTTGATTCAAATTACTTTTTGGATTTTGGCGCTGACTAGGGCACCGATTCTGTCCAGCGTATAAAAAGTCGATTTTACGACAATCCACAACATTTTGTGCTTATTTTAAGGTTTAATACTAATTAAGCAATCATAGATTATGATTCATAATATGGAGCAAAATAGTGAATTTTTTTCATCAAGCTATCTGTTTACCTTCAAAAGGATTTTTAAGTACAGCAAATGTTTACTTACCATTTTACTGAACCACATACGGTTCATATTTCTCCTCAACATCTCTGTGGATAGATTTGTCATGAATATTGTTTTTCTATTTTTCCCCTAGTTCAATAAATGAATAAATCGTTGACATCTATAGACTATGTTTATCTTGTGGATAATTTATCTTGTCTTTGTTTGTTATTAAAAGGGCAAGACAACGTATAACTCATATGCACATAGATTTCATAATTTCGGAAAATGAGCAGGATTTCTCGTTGATCTAGTGATGATCTGATATAACATGAGAAAACAAATTCAAGAATCGAAAACATTTAGCTTTTTATGCACGAATGATACAACTTATTATTTGTAGAAGACCAATCGTTTTACCGTCAGTTTCTTTATAAATATTATCAAGCGTATAAATAAAAGTATGGACAAAAATGAATTTTTTATTTTCTACTTTGCTTCTTTCAAAATGCTTTATTGTTATCCGATGAAATCGTTATACGTGTTTATATTCTTTTACAAATTGCTGTTGAAAGACATGTTTAACCTTTTACATACTCTTATACTACTCAACATGGTTACTTTGATTAGTATGATGCCACTGTCAAATGATTATACAAGGTAGGACAATAGCTTAAGAAAGAAAAGATCAGAAGACGCCTCACAAAAAAGGAATACAACTTTATTTGATAAAATCAGATTGAATTGTGATGTAGCGAGTGTTCTCGCTTTTCTTCACAGCAGATATTACACGTGTGATATCTGGTTAGAGCAGCCTCTGTGAAGTTAAAATGTGAAACATCTCGTAATTATTAAAAATCGACAAAGACCATAGATTTTTTTGGATAGAAACTCGAACTCTTTACTCTATTGGATTATTGGACGAAGCTGCACAAACTATACTATGCTGAACCTATAAAGAAATAAATGCTCAATCTCTTCTCTATACAGGCTATCGCGACTTTATGCAGCGATAAAAACAATATCTCAACGCACAAAACGTGGTTTACACGATGTATGGTATCCAGCAGCTGCATTATTAAAAAGTTTCTATTCAGATGATGGTGAATCATTGAGAGTTGAACCATCAAATAATCAGCGAAGCGTTAAACCTGTTGATGGACCAATATCAATTGATTATATAAATCACATGTTAGAAGCACGAAAGGTCCAAAAATATTCATATCCGAGAGACATGGACTCTTTGACTATGTAAGTTCCTTTTTCTCTAAGAATAAAACCTTCAAGCCGAACCAGTTTATATATAGATTTTCAAGACATAGGAATGTATATTTCTTTTTTAGCGGTCGGTAATGGTGGAATGTGAAACCTCACAAACTTTAAATGAGTATGACTGTGATATATGTTGAAATGGAATTTTACATGATTGATATCGATAAAAAATGGCTGCTATGTGATGTGTATGAATAAAAGTTTTTTAATCTACAAAATGTCTTCCGTATCTTATTTTCGAGTCAGATATCATATGATTTTGAATATTTATCAAATATTTTTACTCTACTCTGTATATTTTCTGTTGAAATAAAAATATTTTCTTTATTGTATCAATACTTGAAGGATTCTTTGCATGTGTCTATTAGATTTATTGGTACAAATGCTTTATTTCCGTAAATCAAATAAAAAACTTTATTTTGTAAACGTTTCGGCTGGGTTAGAGCCTTCTTCAGTGGAACAGATGAGAACATTGTAAAATTAACACAGATTAAAACAGAATAAAATTATTAAATATCAAGTAGTAGATTATCTTTATTAGTATCTAAAATCGTGTTTGCTGTTATAAGGCTATAATACATAATTTTTTTTGAAAATATGGCATTACCACACTATGAATTTAGATCATACAATTCGATAGACACAGTCTAACGTGTCACAATGCGTTTCAAAGATATTTTTCACGAATCTGTGATGTAATTAAATAAAATTTCCACAGCATTACGGCTCTATAAACTTATGGCATTATAATATGTTTCAATTTTTTATCTCGTTATAGCTCAGTACGATTTGTTTAAAAGCCTACAACACATGAGACTCTAATGTATTATAAACTATTTTAGTTTTTTACTTCCATATAATACATTAAAAACTAATGTAATAAAAAGCTTTAGACTTTTTATCTGATTATAAGACTAAAGATATTTTTTACGAAATTCGACGCTTTTGTAAAGCCATAGAAGAAGTCTAACACATTGCGAAGCATTACGATAAGTCTGGCGCATTATTAAGTAGGAGAAAAAGAGCCCATGAGTAAGAATAGGACAAAGACGAATTTCTACGTGAGGATTGTAGTGTGAAAAACATCGATAATTTGAACGGTCAAATCGAAAAAACCAATAACAAAATATTTTTCAAGGAAAAAGCAATAAAAATTGTTTCTGCTGCTCGTAGATGCAGGGGGTAGCGACCGCGGTGTGTGTGTGTGTGTGACCCCCTCCTGCTTTTGAAAATGTTTGCTTTTTCTGCAGCGAAAAATAATAAATCTTCTTTTCCTGTGTAGTAGCTTTTTTGTAGTAATTTTTTAACAGGAACACAACATTATTTAACGGGAAAATTTTAAGTTACTCCCTCCCTGCTTTGGAGCCCTCGCTACGCCCCTGCGTAGATGCGGCATTCAATCCACTCTGCTGTCATCATTTATATTATTAACACACCAACCTCTTGAGCCAAGAAGCTGTATGGAATAAGGAAATAGGACCCTTCCTGAGTCAAGACCTTGCATTAACAGATATAAAAAAAAATGTTAATTTTCCGAGTAAGAAGTTCAAGCTGATGACAAAAATTGTTAGGGGAAAACTTTTGTTTGGGTAATACCATTTGCCTAAGCTTTTCTCGTTAAACTGTTTCAGATAAGAAAAAACCTAGTTTCACTCTCGACTTGACAAAAGAAAATCGACCAATCATAAATCGCTAAAACAAATTTGCGTTTTTTTGCGTTGGTCGTCTAGTCTCTCCGGAATTACGTTCAAGAAGACCGAATTACGTTTTTACTCGCCACTTACATTTTCACCTATGATGAAGCTTTAGACTACTAAACCTCTTCTATATAAAATACTTATTTAGATGATGCATAAAGGAGATGGAAAGAAGAATTTATTATTGGCTAACTATCATCTATTTAATGTACAGACGAATATTTTGACATGACATGAAGAGAATGAAAAGACAGAAAAATATTTTCATTATACGATTCATTCTTCTTTCCTCCTATAATGATGATCAGCTGCGCTTTTTTGTTCTTTAAAAAGCTACCATAATTCATTTTTTTTATTGATAGTCCTAATGGACATAAGTCTGGGCGATAAAAAACCGATTTCGGATGAGAAATGTGAAACCAAATTAGAAATCGAGGATTCAGTTGCTGCGAGAACCAAAGAAATTGCAAAACGCCCTAGACGTGAACGAAGCCCTCGTGAGCAATTAGGAATTACTTGAATTTTTATTTTGTTCATCTTGTTGCCCACATTTCATTTAAGCTCTCCAGTACTTACCTTTACCAGCTCCAAAAAGTAAAAAACCAAAAGAAGTTGTACCAAAACAACAAGACAAAACAAAATGGACAATGGAAGAACAAAAACAATTTTTTTCTACTCTGCGAATTGTATGATACAAACGGTTTTTAAAACTAAAATGTTGTTCTGTATCTTTTCATAGTTCTCTTGTTCATTTAGTATGGGAAAAATTTTGAAGCACTTGGACGATGTTTTAATGCACGACGAAGTCTGGTGAATCCAGATGCACAAAAACGAACAAATGGACAAATTCGTTGTTTTTATTATCGTTCATTTAGAACAGTTTCCAAACTCTGTACATTGAGCGATGGTAAGAAACAGGCGTGGAACATCCTTTCTAATTATTGGATTTCTAAATGAGAAACCATATTTCTCAGCATGAGCTTGTTTTTTGGTTATTTCCACTTAGTAGGACTGTTTTACTTGTTTTTTTAGAGGAAAAGAACAGTCTTGATTCTCTAGAGCTTCGATCTGTTTTGGCATATTTATGTTTAAAACCAAAAGTGAAATGTAAGATACATTAAAGACTTCGAAATTCAGTATTCATCTTCATTCTGATTTCAAGGTTTTGACAAGAAACCGACGATAATGGTACTGCATCAGCTGATTCGTAATGGCAATGCGTTTCTTCGTGTCAAAGGTCATCGAGAACATGTTTCTATAATTGGAAAAGCTCTAAAACCTCCGAAAATATCTACTACTATAAGTGAGTTGAATAATTATTAAATGGTTAGAAGTTAACTATTGATGGCGATTTAGGTTCGACAAAGCAATCTGATCGTTCATTGCCGAATCATGTCAAAGTATTACTGAGTCCGGCAGATAGTTTTGCGTATATGCGTGTTGGTCTTGCTATGCGCCATCCACACATTGAAATGACATTATCTCAAACAACAAAGATACTCGAATTAGCTGTTAAATTAACACAACATTGGCAATTGAATACACAAGCAGAATCTGTATCCTCTTTGTACTTAGCATAATTTTCAAACATAATGAGAACGAAAATCAAAATTATGACAGGAAGAACACTTTTTCTTAACTAAAAATTATTTTAGGCATCATGCTCTCAGTCAAAAATTACTGATGAACAACCCAATGAATATCTTGAACAAATTATTTTATATCCACATTGTCTCTATTCATCATCTGTTCATCAAGAATCATCATCACTAGCAGCATTATCAACAATGAATAATCGCACAAAAAAGATATTCAACGAACAAGTGAAATCTCGGCGTTGTTCAAGATCAGACTCAGAAAAGTCATGTTCGTCTACAACGAAATCATTATCTGCTGTTGATAATAACAGCTGTACTGATATTATATCATCTACAACCTCAACAACAACGACTTCCAAACGAAACAATATGTCAGAAGGTGAATTTATGTACGATTTACCAGCTCAAAAAAAAGTGTCACCACCGTCGCCAGTGTCATCCTCATTATCATTGACATCGGGATTAAATAAATCGAGTCTAGCACGTACGGCAATGATTATGGCAGCAAAAAAAGCAGCAAATAATCAAGAGATTGCCAATGCCAATGAACACGGATTTATGCTATCAAATTTGGATATGACCGAAGATGAAGCAGACAGTAGTGGAAATTCTCATCTTTTATTCAAACATCGATATGATACAATTCATTTGAACGAAGAGGTAAAATGAGTCTCGTAAATGTCTTATGATAATTAATTAATTTTATGTATGATTAGGTATATTCGGAAGATGAAGTTGACTCGGAAATGATCGCTATTCATAACGAAATGGAAGCTGATACTGCATTGCCGAGTAAACACGCCGAAACAACCACGGATAATGATAACATCAACACTCAGATTCCATCTACAACGACAACAATAACAACTCCAAAAGTTACTATGGCAGATTTACGTAATGGTATAAGTCGAACAAATAATTTTCTCTCTTCGTTAACCATCGGTCAAATTCACAAAATGTTTCAATGTCCCAAAGAACTTCATTTCGTTTATAGTTTTACTAGGCGAAATAACATCGTCAATAAAGACGATGATGATTTAACATTTTTACATTATATTATTCAAATAGCTAATCAATGTTTAGTTAATTTAACAGTGCAAAAAGAAGGAAAAATATCGACGAAAAAATCAACCAAAAAACAACGTACAAAATGTTTATGTAGTTGTTGTAATCATCATGGAAAAGAGAGTCATCGTCGTATACCAACGACAGCAACAACAATTAAAATTGTTTCAAGTTCAAATGAAAAAAGTTTAATAAAAACTGATGTAAATACATTATTACAAACGTCACCACAATTACATAATGATTATGAATCGAACTTCCAACAACAACACGAACAAATTCAACGAAATTCAAATATTGTGATTCATATTCAACCAGTAGATGAATTGAGCAAGTAAGGAATCATTTTGTTAACATTTTATTTCTGTTTACTGGTAAATAAGTTGTCTATTCTATTTAGTATATTGATTCCTGAACAAAATCTTGTTCCATCATTTTCTTGGCTAACAAAGTATTTATTAATTGTTGAACAACAACAGACAACGATTAATTCTCTACTTACAACGGCTGTCACAACATCCACACCCTTACCAAACAGTAACAATAATGACACTACAGCAACAACCGTTACAGCTTCAAATTCAAATAATATCCGATTGAATTCGATAAATTCTAGTATTCAACCGTTAGATGATTCATTGATTCAATCTTTAGCTGCCGAACAAGCGACATCAGCAGCGAAACGAATGATGAATGATTCAGCCTTTTTCTCAGGTTACAGACGAGTAAGTCTAAACGTTTTACTTTCGTACACTATGATTTTTTATTTTATTGATTTTAGGTTAGAAGACCGCTACGATACGGTGATCAAGCTATTCGTGCATCAAATATGCAAACGTTGCTTAGTGGTAAGAAATGTGTTTTTTTGGTGACCAAATAGAATCTGTATCATGTTTAGCACTTTCTTTCATTTGTAGATGCTGTTCAAAATGCCTTGGCGGCTAATAATCTTACATCGACAAAAACCCAATTAGTGCATGAGAAACAAGATGATACATCGTTTTTGACCACAATGGAAAATGATCGGCGATCAATGAACAATGTTGATTTTGAATTTGATCAAAGTACGTATAAATAAATTTTTTTTTTGCTTGCTAACGATATCTTCGTATTTTAAGATGATTTTTTAAATGATAACACAAATATGAGTACAATGTCGTTAAGTAGTAAGTTGAATGATATTATTGTGTCTAAAATGAATGGTTGATGTTGATGATGTTTCATTTTTCTTTCTTTAGCCACAATTGTTAATGCTGCTTTACAGAGCAAAGATTCACGACTTCGATTGGATTGCGATTGGCCAGATGAGGTATTCAGATAATGAATTATATTTTTGAATTTAGATTTTATTCTTAGAATTTTTCATGTTGTTTAGATGTCTGATCTTTCAATGGGTAGTAGTTTTAGAGATGTATTAGAGCACAATTCAACTTTACAAACATCAGATGATATTGGTTTTCATAATGTAAGAACAAACGAAGATGAATATATCGTAAGTGAACTTTGAACTAAATATTGAACGAAATAAACGTTCTTAAAAGAGTAAAAAGTAGATAATATAGAAAAAAAACAAAGAAATTTTTTCAAAGATTAGTAAATACATTTTTCTATGACATTCTTTCTTCGGACTATAAAAAATATCTATTTTATGTTTAAACAGGCAGAAAATTCAATATCGGAAGCTTTGTATGCTATCAATAATCAATCATATTATCTTAATAACACAAATAATAATGTCACGGATATTTTATCACAAAATTAATCTATTTAGTTTCTATATAAAATCTTGTAGGTTTTTTTATACGTCTTCGTTCTTCCTTTCATTTTCTTCTGCAATAAACTAGTCAATTTGATCTGCTGGATGGAAAAGCGTTTCTTGTTTACTTTAGTTTTTTTTTTTTTATATTATCGATAAACGATACTGAACACTATCTTTTTTTTGTGATGAATACGTTCTGATATCAAATTGTATAATAAGTCATGAAACCGACTTTTGGTTGGCTACGATTTTAATTTTTGTTTGTTATTTTTATAATATTTGTTCTATCGATACTTGGTGTTTTGTCTTCTTCTAGTGTAGAAATTTCATCTCATTTGATCTTTTTTTTTTTGTTGTTGCTACAGTTATTTTTCTCTCCATGTTAAAGTATCTGCTCGGCTATATAAAATTGTTTTTTTACAAGAAATTACATATAAATATGTACATAAAACGTAACATTTGAAATTGATCTAAAAGTAGAAAATAAACAAGTCAGTCTTGCACAACATCTCAATTAGTAAGTAAAACTCTATAGCGTTTATTATGTATGAAACACAGAACAATGATTTTCATCGCGACATATCAATTCGCCATACAGATTAAATTATCAAAAATGGAAGTTGTTCCTATTGATTAACTCTATATATGTTATAAACTTTTCTCCAGAATTATTTTTTGAAAGGAAATAATAATCAAAATAAATTCAGTTTTTCAGAATTAGTTAAATAACTTTGTTCATTAGCAGCTTTTTGTAAACATACAAATATTTAATATGATCATGATTTGCACATGAATTGATTAAGACGGGTGTTCTTGGTAGAAATATCAAATGTCTATTCATGATCTAATCGCTTCATTATATAAATAAGAGAACATTTTAGTTATTAATCTTACTATTGTTGGAGTAAGTAACAAACAAATCATCACATGAATATCCTGCAAGAAAATGTTAATATTGAACTGAAATATACATTCCAGAGAAACAAATATAATCTCATCAATTCTTTGTTACTACACATAAAAATTTAAGATTGAATAGTTGAACACGAGAGATGTATCTACCGATATACTTTTTCGTTGTTCCTTTTTTTTCCGCCGTTCATCAAATTAATCCATTTGTACATATATTTTGAACATATTTTTTTGTTCTAAATTGTGTCGTCTAGTTTGTTTGTATTTAGTCGGTTGACCTTTTGATGCCGACTAATAAAGCTTTGCTTTTAACACCGTATAAACAATAAAAAATTAAGTAATACAACAATGTTGATAACATGTTGTTTCAGTTATTATTAGTTACATAAAAAAGAAACTTCTAAAAGAAAATGATTTGGAAAAGTCTTATTCGAGTGAATTTCTACGCATATCTCATCAGCTTATTGAATATTCAAAATATTATTGCTGATTGTGGTGGCGAATTTAAAGTATTGTGCTATTTTTCATCGTGGACAGGAATCCATCCAGAACCAAAAATTTGTACACACATTGTATATACATTTGCACGCATCGAAGAAGATAATACGCTAACAGGTGAGCGATTAAAATTTTAAATAACTATGTCATATACTATTGCTAAACTTGAGTTTTTTCTCAAAGGTGTATGGTCAAATCCATTAAAAGAATTTAAACTAAATAAAGATCCAGATGTAAAAATTTTGTTAGCTATAGGTGGTCAAGATTACGCGATAAGACGTGCTGATGAAATGATGTCGAAAAACGAAACACGAAGTAAATTTGTTATATCAACAACAAAACTCTTACGCACACATGAATTTGATGGTATTGATCTCAATTTTGAACCGTCTGAAGCATTGGGTCTCGCACAAACACCTGGTCCACCACTTATTGAAGATAAAAATAAATTAACAAATCTTTGTCGTGTATGTCTGTGCTGTTTGTTATACTCCATCATATTAAGAGTATTAAACTATCATTGTTAAGTTTAGGAATTGCAAGAAGAATATACCGGAGAAGCTGAACGAACAGGACGTCAACGTTTATTAATTACAGTAACAATTTCTGGTATAAAAAAACATTTAGAATCACGTTATGATGTTGAAGAACTTTCAAAGTTAGTATACGTTTTCATCAGTACATAATTCTTTTTACCTATGAATAACATTTAGATGTGCTGATTGGCTCAATGTACAAGGCTATGATTATCGTGGTTCTCAGGATAAAATAGCCGAACATCCAAGCTCGTTATATTCGGCTACAACACATAGCGGTGCTGATTTAGATCTTAACCAAGTATGTCAACATTATATTAATTTCTTAAATGTCAATCGATGTAGTAAACCATTATTTTAGGCAGCCTCCATTAGATATTTAGTTTCATCGAATAATATACAACCATCAAAATTACTGTTAGGTCTACCAGCTTTTGGTAAAAAGTTTCGACTAACAAGTGATTTACATGATATTGGCTCGCCAGCCAATTGTTTACAAAGTGCCAGTTATACAGAAGTATTAATCTATTTAACTTTTATTCTCTGATTAATAATACTGAATGCATTTTAGTTATGTCGTAATTTAATGTCTGGTTGGCAACGTGTATGGTTAGATGATAGAAAAGTGCCTATTATGATTAAAGGTGATGAAGTGATTGGATACGATGATCCAAAAAGTATAGCACTGAAGGTAATATTATCACAATTAGTTTAAATTAGAATTGTATAGATAAGATATTCTATAGGTGAATTATGCTAAAGATCAAGGTTTATCAGGTATATTCTTGTATCCGGTTAATTTCGACGATAGTAGTGGTCAATCATGCAATCAAGGACATTTTCCTCTGGTACAAGCAGCAAAAATGGCTGTTGCCAACTATACGGTCCCATGTGTTGCACCTACTGAACCACTATTGAATACTACTGCGCTACCACGTAACAGGACAAAATTAATAACACCAAAATGGAAATTGTCACGTTCAGACTATCTTACAAATCATAATAAATATCACCGAAAATCAAACTCGTCGTCACCATCATTCATTATAAAAACGTCAATAATATTTGTATTAAACTTATGTACTTCTTCGTTGTTGATCATTAGTCTATACTGATCGTTGTCAAGTTCAAAATTGAACATCAAACGATACTTCATTTCATTTTCATCGATCTTAAGAGATAAACATGTATATAGCTACATTTCATAACGTGTTTTTTCTAATTTCTACAGTGATCGGCTTAAAAACGGCTAAGTTATATATATACATATCATCATGTAGTAACACTACTAGGAATAAAAATGATGCGTTCTTGATCTAAAATTGAGCAGAACGTCTCTGTGATAATAGTAATCACTAATCATATGTTGTACAAGACAATAAACTTGAATTCAGCAATAACTAGCAAAATATTTTAATGTGTTAATGAAATGTGGTCACCTTTCAACCCTATATTTTATTTGTTCGGACTACACGACTTTGCATTATAAAAAAACTTCTGGGAACAAATAAAAGGAAAATAGATAGATCTATTGTATTTTGAAATTTTTTTGTTCAAATTTTTTCCTCATTTACAACTCGCTTGTTCAAACTGAATTGAATGAAGGAAATTATTTCCAGTATGACTGGAATGAGGTTAAAGCAATTAAAGCCATCGTCAGCCAAAGATGCAGTATCAATTGATTATAAGTGATATATTGTTGAAAAATTTGTCAGAAAAGTTTTAAACAGACCTATCGATAGTCACTCTGAAGAAAAAATTTACGCTGAGCGATTTGCAACTCTCAGAGCAGTTTCTTTTATTGAATCTTTTTGGGTTCAAGGAAAAAATAAGATATAGTAAATGAGATCGCTCGAATACCCTATATCACTTGTTAAATACTCTGTGTTAGCCTGTTTTTCTGCACGAAACCACACGCGTACCCGTAGGATCCTTTTGTAATCAGATCGGGTCCAATAGAACATGGAAAGTAATCCTTATATCGGAAAACACGTATGATGTCTATGATAGAATATTCTGCGATTTGGTCGAATTGACTTTATAGGCAGTGTTTTATCTCGGTTTCGTTGTACGAGTGAGCAAAATTTTTGGAGGGGCTGTTGGCTAAAAACATTTTGCTAGAACGAAATCAACTGTTTATTTTTGGATGGGCGCCACCCATCCGGCCTACCCACTAGATAAATCACTGTTTTTAGGATCAATCGTGACTTTTTTATGGGAATAAATCCACTGGAAAGGTACCATCATTCCACTGATCCGATATAGGCAGGAGCTCGAAAAACTGAGATTTTTAGCGCAAATTCCAACTTTCTAGCTCATGCGAGAGTCGAGAAACGAGCAAATTACTTTTGAGTAGTATTAGGGCTGGTTTCATTATTGTGTACCGATTCTCGCGTGACTTGTAATGCTTGTTGTGCCTGTCCTTCCGAACAGAAAATCATTTTTTTCCATTTGAAAGAGCAACTCAACATCTCCTAGTTCTGATAAAATAAAGTTTGTCTGATGGGTCGTTTTCAAGAAACACTTTTAAAGATGTAGTGGTTATCCAGTAGTTCTGTGCATATTGTCCATCCGAGATTGATGAAAAATGATTTCTGTAGGTAGGTTTTAATGCTGAGTTTGAATTTAATGTCTGTTTTATATGTTTATAAAGTTTTTTAAAATTGTTATAAAATTTCGTTGAAGGCTTGGAATTAAACTGCTGTACGAGTCTAACTTCAGTCATAAAGATTAAATGTAACAGAAATACATGCCAACGTCCCCACGACATTTCGTTACCGAGAAATCTTGCAGCTACGAAATCTGAGCAAGAAGAATATCATTTTGAGAAAACAGAAAAAACTTTTTTCTTTCGAAAAATGTCTAATTTTTTGTAATATTCCAATGAATAAAGTTTCTTTATATATTCCTATAGATTATCAATGTTGAAAGATTCAAGTGATATTTCATAGGTAAAAACATATGCACGCGCACATGCGGCACATGTGTAGGACCTTTAAATAGGAATTTGTATCTGCACAAATTGGCATGAAACCGTACATACGCCCAGATAATTTAAGAAAGTAATTACAAGACAATTTATTGTAGAATCATATTTTAAACTTACATGAATAGAAGAAAACATATTTCTCACTTCTCCAGAGAAGATTATGTATTTTAAATACATGGTTTTTAGTGGTTTACTTAGCAGAAAAAAAATCGTAAAATCGATAATTTATGTCAAAAACAACGCTTTCACGACTGAAAATCGTGTATCACAAGCATGATTGTTTGGTCGATTATGCTGACAAAAGTGGGTTTGAGTCCATTTATACGCTGTTGTTTATGTTTAATATCATACGCCTACTGTGTGTGCTTCAGTGTAATCGAAGAAGTTTATGTGTAGTGATACACTAGTTATTATTCTAGACTGATATAAAGACCTATTGAGTTACATTAATCGAATCGTGTCTTGCGATAAAGCAGAAGCTATAGCTTTGGGCTAAAATATTAATTTTGTGTAAAAATATCTTATCATCGAACCAATTCGTGCACCTCGCTGGAATATCAAATTTAGTGACAAGAAACCTTGAATGATCGTATTTATTTCTACTGCCCTTAAATCCAAAATCAAAGACTTATCCTAGCTGCCAAACTTTGGCATACAAATAATTCTTATTTTATTCTAAAATAGTTTTACTACTATTCGCACATAGAAATAGTAGTAATATCTATTATTTGTCTAAATTATATGTTTGAACAGATATGAGATATGTTTATCGTGTATACTTGAGAAAGACATAGTAATATCAATTACAAAGAACGATTTATATGCCTAATAGTTTGATTAAGGTTAAGACACATTTGATAGAACTGCAATAATAAGTATTTTTACTTTATTATATAATCGGTTATATGTATGATACAGTTATGCTCAAAGAAAAAATGTGTTATAAATAGACTTTTTTAACACTATTTTCTTTCAATAAACCCCCATTTGTCTGCTACTTTTCATCATTACGATATTCAGTAGCTACAGGACTCATCTTATATACTGCCACAACAAAAGACTGACATAGAAAACTGATAGATTCATCAAAGAATTCAAAATACTCGAATCTAGATCTGCTACATTGTTCTTTTACCAATTATAGTTAAGTTCTCATATAAGACTTCCCAGTTGTATAATAATCGACATCATTTCTCAAACATCGTAATATGACTATGCCTATTAACTAGGAGGACAAAGATAACTGTATTGATGTCACATATGAAGAAGAGAGAATATATAACAGAAAACTTACCATCGTAAAAGCCATGAACATTGAAATTCCTCCGTTCATTGCAAGAATGAATTTTTCCGTGCGTGATGTACTCAATAAACATGTTATGCCTGAAAATTGAGGCTGAAAGACAAAAATAATGTAAGTCGACTACAGAATATCATATTATACTCACACACACTTCGGTTTCATTATTATAGCTACAACACTGATACTAGAAGATTAAGAAAAACCTAGAAAGTATTTTTATGGTGAAGTGTAAAGACTTACTGCTTGTTGAATATTAGCAATATTAGTATTTATTGCAGTTCGGAGTTCGTCTGAATCTTTCAAGTATCCATCTGTTTGTACTATTTTTAGTCAAAAGACAATGTATACTTTACAAACATCATATATCTCTCATTAATATCAACTAACCTGCAAAAATAAGACCAACAATGCCCGTAGACACTCCCAAAATCATTAAAAGCCAAAGTAATATGACAAACTAAATTAATAAATTGAGTATATCGCATTTCTTTTTGGACTTTGTTCGCCGAACTTACGGCTTGTAATAGTGTCATTCGCTGTGTAACTATGCTTACGATTCTTATAACGCTAGTAATAACACTAAGTGCACCTATTACTACCATCAATACTCCGAAACCAATTTCACGTTGATAGACCGGTAGAGAGATTAAGAGCACTGTAGTGATACGAGGGATAAACAAAATCCATGAACCCAAAACAATATAAGCAACAGATTGTAGAAAAAGTAGAAAATTATATAGATATGAAACGGCAGATACGAGCCAATGCAATGGTCTATGTTGAAATTGTTGTGATTCTATCACGCGTTGTTGTAGCATCGAACGATTCATGCTTAAAATGAATAAAATGAGAATTTTTACAAGCATCAGAAAATTTTTAGCACACACAAGACATTCAAAGATGCTTATCAAATTCTCAACAAGTTAAGTTACATTAATGACATTTTTAAATTTAAAAAAATGCATGAATTAACTGGAATTAACAGAACACAATATATAATCGTTTTTTTTCATCAGATGCAATATGATTTAGAGCAACACTACGATGAAAGTGGAAAAGAAGGGCGTGGTGTAAAAATAATGACAACCACGAGAAATTATGAGTATTGGGGGAGGGGGAGGGATTTTCTAACGAGAAATGAAAGCAGAAAAAAAATCTGTCTTTAAGATTATAAAATAAAAAAATAATAAAGAAAATAAAATGAAATTGGTAATGTAATTGCTTTATATAGGTACTCCACACATACGTTAAAAAGTTCGTGTTTTTTTTGATAAAAAAAGGTGTACAAATTTATTTTCGAAGAAGAATAAATATATATACACATAATATAAGATGTAAGATATAGGAAAAGCGAAGAAACCGTAATGATACTTTTACATTTCAATTCAATATTTTGATTTCTTGTTTTGTTTCTTAACATTTGATATAGTGTTTTCAATATTAAGCTACAAGACAATATGTAATAATAAATACTTATATTGTATAGTCTCACAACCAATTCCAAACTGACGTGAGATAGGATGTGAACAATAGTGTGTAACCTATGACGAAAATAAATTTATCCTAAAAAAAAAGCAAAAAAGTCATTTCTAGTAGGATAGAATCGATTCTCGATTGAAAGAATAAAACTTGGGATCCATTCATGGTACCATCATCTCATCCACATCTTCTTCTTTTATTACACTTCGAACACATTTTAATAGTCTTTCGATTCTCATCTATCACGCATATTAAAAACAGAATAGGCATGACATATTGGTGAATGACATAGCCATTGTACCGTTTATTTTCCACATGTAAAAACAGGATAATTTTTTCTTCTC